GGCGTTGGCGATGTTGTCATTTAAGTAAAAGGCGGTGGCCAGCCAATGTATGTTAAGGTTGTGGTGTTTGTTAATGACGGCAAGGTGCTGGAAATTGTTGAACATTATAGATTGTGTTATATCTTGTATGAACGGTCGTATGGGAATTGAGACGCACATTCTTTTGTAGCTAATATAATGTTGCTTTAAGTATGTGAGATTGAACAGTAGAGCAGAGGAGTCGTAACACTGTTTTGCCAATTGATCTACTTTCTCATTGTAAAAATCGCCAGAGTGTGCTTTGATTTTATGTAGGACAATAGTGAGAGATTGTTTGTCAATAACTTTGAAGAGGCTAAATCAAAGTGGGTAGTTGGTAATTTTTAATAGAGGTCGGATGGATGGAGAAAAACAACGGATATTTCTGAATTTGTTATATTGTTATATGACGGCCTGTGAGTCCGTATAAATGTGGATACGGCAATATTTAGGCGCCACAAGGATGGCTGTGAAAATTGCTTCCAACTCTACTGATGATGAAGACGGGAATGTAGTGACGAACGCTGAAGAGTAGGAAACCATTGGGAAATTCAGGTTCGATTGTAGCCAAGCCAGTCCCATTCTAACTGTAGGAATACTCAGACCCATAAGGGATCCATCTATATAAAACGTTAATTCTTGAGCTAACTCAAATTGTTGTGAAAGTGTTAATAAATTATGAAAATACGAACTAGAGATATAATTATAAATTAAAGAAGGAGGGGTTAAACGTTGATAGTTCATTAGAGGCTTATAAGATGATGAATTGTTAGCATGGGTATATATGTGACTTGCCATATCCTTTATGAATGGTAGTGATCAATAACAAATGTGGTTCTTTTTCCCGTGATTCATTGGAACATTCATACAAATCCCGATAGGAACTGCGAAAACGCAGTTATACCGTTTGAGTTCCAGTGAATTCTTTTTGAAAAGTGTAGGGTTGTGATGCGGACAGCCCTGGCAACATTGTAATGTAATCTCATTGTTGGTTATTTGATAAGTACAGTGTATGATATCTGCGAAGCTTCCTGATATTTTTAAAATCTGTTCAAATATTAAGTTATCGATCATTTGTTACCACAAGGTAACGTAAGAAAATTTACTGGTGTTTATGTTATTAGGCAAATGAGGGAAGTTATGACTATGTTCGTGTGTTATTGACGTGTCAGGAGGTAACTGTTGATTTTCATCTACTCTCAGTGCTTCTTTTATAACTAGGTACCAGATCAGGACTCTACCTTTGTTCAGTACTGATGGAAAGAATCGTAGGTCATTCATATTGTATAAATGTTTGCAGTCCTTTGTTAAGAGTTGCTCCACAAACATAATGGACATTTTTCTTAAAACAGGTGTAAGTTTCCTGTATCTATTTGGTATAATGGACTGTATCGAGGTAAAACCACCTAGTATATGCCCTCGGACGTGTTCGGGTGAAACTAAATTCATACTGAGTTTTTTCATGTCACACAATAGACCTGGGATCCAATCTTTGAAGTGTTTTGGGTTGTTAAAGGGCCAATCTCTTAAAGGGGACGAGGATAGCCATTCCTGTAATTGTATTTGTTGGAGTCGTATGTAGGTGGTTTGACCTAATAGGCCACTATCGTTTACAGAGTATAGAATTGCATCGCACAGAGCTTGTGTGTGTCTATGATGTAAATGAATGATACCATAGAATAGTTTGGAGTAGAATAAACATGATGGGATATCTCTTAGAAGGTGAAGTTTCTTCTTGAAAAAGGATCTAAAAGGTCTAATTATGCGGTCTGAAGCACTTTCAGAAAGGTACACGAGCTGTGTACGATATTCGACACGTAGGATTATTACTACATTGTACGTATAAATGAGTTATTTATCCGTTAGCTTTTTATTAGCTAGTATTGCTATAGCAGATTTCACGTCTTGTACGGCCTGATTAACGGTAAATATCTTATTGCATCGCAATGAAATCCAAACGCTAAGGTATTGCACTGAGTTGTTTGATTTAATTGAAGTTATTACATGATCATAACCATGTACATTGGTGATAATTGTCTGGGTATCTGATAAGTTTGTCAAAAGGTCCGACTTAGCCCAGTTAACTTGTATGCTGTTTAGTTCGTAGAAACTGTTGGCGATGTTGATTATATTACTTAGGTCATCCTTTGATCAAGCAATCCAAAGTGTGTCATCCATAAATGTCAATACTGATGTTTTACATTGGAGGCTGTTATAAGATTCCGTTCTTACATTTGGTTTCCACCTGACTGACATGTTATATCCTAAGTCCGAGGATTGTATCTTGCATAAGAGTGGATCATAATAGATGCACCATAAGAGCGGAGAGATAATTTCACCTTGGTCTATATCCGAGAAAACTTTATATATATCAGTATTACCGAAGGCCGTAAAAACTTGATTTTCTTGAGGGACAAACATGTTAAGAATGAAGTATATGAATTCTTTGGGTAGTTTAAGTCTTTCCAAGGCTCTGACTAGCATAAAAACGTTAACCCTATCATAGGCTTTAGACATACCTTACAATAAAATCCACAGTTCTTTTTTGTTGGTAAGTGCATCATGTTTGATGTTATCAAAAATATGTAATGGTTCGAAAGTTGACCGAAATGGTAGACCTGCGAAGTTGTGTCCTTTTAGTATACTATGTTGGACAAAGATTGTTGAAAGGTGTCTGTTGATTAATTTGATTAAAGCTTTCCTTGGGCATTCCAGGAGCGTGATAGGCCGAGTGTTATTCAGGTCATATTCTCATAGTTTAGGTTTGAGGATTGGATATATGTACGCTAGGTTCCATCTATTCGGTAGCGATGAGATTTTTAAACAGCCACAAATGATGTACCAAAAAAGTTTTCTGGCGAGCTGACCGAGGTGTTTTAACATTTCATTGTGAATTTTTGAGGGACCTGGTTCTTTATCGTCAGCTAAAGATTTTATAATGTTGTACCATTCATCTGCCATAAGGGGTGACATTAAAAACTTATATATATTGGGGTCGATGTTAGAGATCGGATTATAAATTGAGTTCTATTCCTCTGGTATTACTTTGTTTTCATAGGTGGTACCAGCCGCCTTCTGGAAATGTTCGTTAACATTAAGTTTGACAGCACTTTCGTCCATTAGTAAATCCTTGGAATTTCTTGATAAGCAACGGTCAAGTATTATGGTTCTTCTTGAACGATTTAAGGTGAAGTCTAACATTTTACCAGGTTGTAAAGCATAGTTTTCAAGACGTTGTTCGAGTGCTTGTTGGACTGCTTGGAGTTTATATTCCTTCTCATACAGTTTAGTTTTACAATGAATTATGTTGATCAGTAATTTGGTGTCGGAAAGTAGAAGGTCAATGAAATTGAATAGATAATTTGGATTTGGGTGAGCAGTGACGATATTTAGTGAGTGCGCAATATTGATGTAGCCATCATATGAACGAGACCATGAGACCAGGAAGGATGCCCCATTTTTGATAGAGCGTAACAACTTATTGAATTTGTGTAGTTCTTTTTATTGTATATAGAGTTTGGATAGTCTGGGGGGTCTTGGATATTTAAATTGTCCTGTTGATTTACGAATGAGAATGGTTATTTCAGCAGCTTTAATCATTAAATCCTGGAATTGATCCCATTATTTATTAAGCAGAGTTTGTGTCCAGAAAGTATTGACGTTTATAGTTTTCAGTGAACAGGCGTTTAAGAGTGCATCAAATTTGGTTCCAAATTTGTTCCATTTATGGTTGTCCATTTTGTTGAAGTCAAAACTTACTTTTGCTTGTATTTTTCTTTTGTTGAATTTGATGTCTAGGAAATTAGCAC